AAATGTAATAACTAGCACAAATCATTCCAACTCCTGATGGTGTCATATCAAGTCTCTTCCAAAACATAATCTTTTTCCTTCAGCTTTCAGTGAATGTTGCTTCCTAAATATGCAGTAGTGATCATTTCCCTTTTTAATTGGGAAAAGCTAAGAAAGTTGACAAAACTATTTTACAGTTTCATTTCCTGCTAGGGACCAGCTCTTTTCAATCCTGTTTCCTTTTCAATTAATTAGCATGACACCTCCACAACTAAATGGTGTATGTGCAAGAGAACGAACACTTGATCTAAAGCTATTGTGTCATTTTCATACATGAATTCTGTAATATCTGAAAGAAGACAAAGCCACGGTGAGTTAGACCTGACAAATTACCTGGATGTAGGGAAAGTAATTTTACCAATATTTGGAAGGCTAAGAGACTTTTCTGTGTGCATGCATATACATGTATAGAAAGCATCAGAAGAATACAACACGAATATGAGAATGTCTTCACAGAAAGCTTTAATTTGAGGACATATGGGTGTGACTGGGTGAGGGTACTCTGCTCCCAAATGAGAAAAGAAAAATATTTATTTTATGAGCAATACTTATAAGTTCAAACAGGTAATTAAAGTACTTTACTGAGGTCATTTTGGGATACCAAATACTTTGAGGATTATATTCCCTCTTATTTCATGTTTATTGTTCCCCTACGTAAAATATGTGGTTCCATTTAGTTACTCAGTTGTGAATTTTACTTTAAAGGCAAGGGACATTGTTGACAATGCACATCTTAAAACTTTTCATTAAACTACCAAATTTAAATTCTATATTTTTGTGTACTCTGACATTTTTGTCTGGCATTTTCATTAATTTTGCAACATACATAAATGTAGCTGAAATGTTAACTGATCAATACTTTGTCTCTCTCACATAGCACTAGAGTAAAGCTCCCTAAGGACCATGCAGCAGTACAGAAATTAAATGTGTATCAAATACTAATGTTAAATGCAGGAGTATTTACTGTATAAAGACTGAAAAGGCTAGAAGAATTCCAAATGGCCAGATGGTAGCACAAATTACCTACAATCACTACAAAAGATTGAAGTTTGTCCCATAAAATAATTCCCTGACTAACACTGAAGCATGTCCTTTCACTGATAGCTCAGTTGTCCAATTATTTTTGTGATCTACAAGAACAGAAATGTCTGGTCAAGAAGCTGATGGAAATTAGGCCCAGTTAACAGAGATTTCAGTCCCCACAGTGGATTAACCTGAAGAAAAAACACCCACTTCTGCATACTCTAATAAAGTTCTTCTGCCTCAAATGTACCATATTAATTACTGAATTAAAATAAGAAAATTAACTGCTAAACACTCTAAAGGTCTGTTTTAAACACATAAAATCATGTGAATTTATGGCAAAGGCTCCCTGTACATATTCTATTTTTTCTATTGCATTTAGGTGCTTAAGAAGCATAAACACAAGTATGTAACACATGCTTGATCAGCCGCTAGACATAACAGGACTGTACATGATACAATAAAGCTGCTCTGTAATTGAAACGTTAATTTAACATTGTTGCTATGTACCTCCTGTATTTAAAAGGAAATAAATATGAAAAAGCAGGAAAGAATATAAAATTTTCTGATTGTTCTAATCCAAAGTCATATGCTAGCCAGACTAACCTATGGTTTATGAGCTATTTATGAATATCTGAAAAATAACAGCTAGTAATACATCACAGTTACATGAAAACATTAAAATATTATGTGTTAGTAGCAATTTTTCTTCTGCTGTTAACTACTGAAGCACAGAAAAAAGAATTGAAGGGAAAACCTTAGGTCATTCAGACAAAATCCCCAGTGAAGGTGATGAGCTTATGAGGTTTAACAGGAACAGGTAAAATATTGTTTATCTGAGAAAACGCATAATCTAGAACATTGAAAACTTACCTTCTAAGTTTCTCTAGCTCTAGGCACAGCATAGGCAACCCGAGTCTGGTTGCCTGTCTGGTTGCCTGTCTGGTGCTTTTGGACAGATTTTGGAAAGAATCATCCTAAACCTTTAATACAGCATTTCTTTATCTAAGATGTCCCAAATAACGTAAAGGTTTGAGACAGCTAAGTTCTGGAATACACATTATCAGCAAGGCCCTGCAATGAACACTATTAGTTTTGATGACTAACACTGTGACTCTCCAAAGAGAATGACTTTAAAACGAACTGTAGTAAAGAGTGCAGAAGGTGTATAAAGCAGGTAACAGTAGCTTATTACAGAGTCACCATATTAATCAAGCCTTTCTGTAGGTTTCCAAGAACAGTTCTTTTTTCCAGACTGATCTTAGTAAGTACATTTCTGAAAACTGATCTAGTCTGCCAAAATTTCTTCACCTGTAGTCCTGCATAGCCCCATGAGAAAATAAAGCCATGGGGTAAGGTGCTAGACAGAAGTACTTGTAATTGTAATGCCAAGGACTCGGGGTATTGGGAGATATGAAAAATCAACCCCCACATATGTAACTTACATGAAATGGCTGTAAATCTGCATCAGGATGTTAACCATCAAGGTATGTCTTCAAATTCAACAGGATGGAAAAAATAGTTAGTTTTGTACATTATTTACTAGTCTGCCTAAAGAGCTAGAAACCTCCAGAATAGTTTATTTCTCATCTCCTTTCTGGCAATGACATTTTACTGTGACATTCTCTAACCTCTGTGAGTCAATGTCAAGAGAAGACATAATTTGTATAATAGTGAAGAGACAAAAAGTATACATATAGGTACATTTATTTTATATACTCTATTACATTCAAACGTAACCTTAGTGCAAGTATAATTCAGCATTACACAGGCAAGTGGACCACTCTCAAGATTTCAAGAGTTTATGAAAGTCCAGAAACAATCTAAACACAAAGCTTATAATCATGATAGAAATTCGCATGTATTTGACTTGGCTAGCAAAAACTTTTTTTGCCAGATAGATCCTTGGAGTGAATAACATCAGGTTGAAAAACACAGGATCCCTTTTGGATGCAGAGCAGGAATAAATCTGTGCAGTCACAGCACAAATGTAAACATAATATATCCATACACTACACTAAACATAATATATCCAATCACTACACAGCAAAACAAACACTGCAAGGAAACGAAGAAAATCAAACTTTTGATCTCTCTCTCTCTTTATGGAGAGAGATACGTAAAATATGAATATATATGTATACAAAAATAAAATCAGTAACATGTTTCTACTGCAATACAGTGTAACTACAATAATGATGCATACTGATTATAGATCCATCTGCTTAAATTCCCCGTTTTATGTATTTCCAACTACTTATTATGATACTCATTTTTTCCTATGACCAGCAACAATTACATTTTAACAGCAACACAACTTCTTCCATGGCTACACCAGTGCGCCATGGGCAAAAAATAATTTCATTTGCCCCAAAGAACAGGACGTTTTCCCATTTCCTCTTCTTCCACTGCCATCCGGTGAGTGTTCCATATTCATATTAAAATTAAACTTAGGGAGATGAGTACTTACTAACTGGAAGAGTAATAGCAATATGAACATTAGAGTTTTATGTAGAAACCTGCACTTTCCTATGAAATGTTGATAACTTTTAACTGAAATGACAGATCGCCGTTCTACAGTAAACAGTAGCAAGTATATTTAGATCTCTGCACATAAGTGTCATTGCTACAGACATCAATAAAAGTGTAAACCCCCGGACTTTTAGAACAGCACATGTATCTCCTGCACTTCTGATGAACACTACAACCAAGGACCGACAGCATTCTCCCATTCTCGACAGGCAAAAGGTGGTTTAACAAGTAACTCAGTACAAATGGAGCCCTGCTAGAAGAAACTCCCAGCAAAACATCATGACTTGACACACACAGCTACTTCATTTTACTGCACAGTCAGCTCCAACGTCTTGTTTGATTCCTCCAAATCTTAGGCACCTGACCTTCAGGCACACAGACTCCCTCTATAATTATTCAGAGTTAGATGAAAACTGTTCTCTGTTCATATTCATGGGGGAGAGACTCATAATCTCAGTATTGCAGCCAACCTAATAAATGCAGATATTCCAGAAAGTATGTCCATGCATACATTTTTACTCCTAGTGGGACTCCCTCATGAAACAACAAATATGGACTACTTGTTTGTAGCTGTTATGATTTTGAAAATAGAAAGATATTTATCTGTGAAACACAATTCAATCAATTCAATTCCAACGCTTGGAATTTTCAAAATTTAACAGGAAAATAAAGGTTAACACTAATGAAGATAACATTAATTGAGAAATAGCAGTTTTGTTTAAATCACTAAAAATGAATTAATTAAAAACTGAACTGTGACCAGAACTTGCTGTCTAAAAGGTACTAAAAGGTTGTATTAATGCTTTTAAAGTTGGTTCTGTTTGATTTTGGTGGTTTGTTTTTTTTTTTTAATTCAAGAACACAATACCTCTTAGTTGAGAAGCAAATATTTGGGTCCAGAATACTTCTTTTTGTAATTTTGTACTTCTGAAAAAGCTATAGGTGTAACATATATGGAGGACAAAAAACCACTAATTTTATCTGAATTATATACAAATAAATAACATTCAAAACAAGCGTATGCAATAAATATGCAATATATTTAGGCACCAAAGAAGATTTAATGGGAGTAATTTGTGAGCAGCTTAAGATATATTATCAATAATTCACTCCATTTTGATTTGGATCACTCACTTATAAATTATATAAGCAATTATATTTATACTATTAATATATGTGTATATATATTATTATGACTTTTTAAAAAACCCTCTTTTTTGTGTGACATTTTAAACTTAGTTACTCCTCTAAAAAGTTGAATAAACATTTTTTAGAGTATCATCATAATGCAAAGTTTTAAATACATTAAAAAAAAAACCAAAACCTTCATATCTACACTGTATTGTCCCTCAGTCTAGAACACAACCACACTGGGGTGATTAAAAATAGTATAAAGAAGATCATACCAAAAAAGCAGCTAGACTTCTCGGGGGAGAATCCCAGTCAAAGCAACTGCTAATGTAGCAGATGGCAGTTACGAGCGCCATGATACAATGCTTCATCCGGATAAAGTTCCTTAATAGTAGCTGTTAAAAACATGAAAGAATAAAAATATTTCAAAACCCCAAAAAGTTTCAGAAAAGGCTCATGCTTACAATAATTTCATTCTTAATTTCTTAATTAAGGTGAAGACTGAGAAAATAACAAGCTCTCTAGCTCACAAATTGAGCAAGTTAGTTTAAACTCTCTGGCTTGGAAGAGAGAGAATTTGTTAGTTGTGTGAATTGGTATTTGCTGAATTTCATTTTAGATGGTAAACAAATTGTCCAACATTAAAAAGCCACTTGCAAATTTTCATAAATTATTTTGTTTATTAAATTTTAGTTTTATTAAGCCTTTCTTAACAAATGTTGGTGTTTCTTATTATAAAGGTGCTGCAGCACACTAACCCAAAACCATGCAAAATTACTGCTCTAATCTAATTAAGATCATCTGTACCCTTTAACATTTGTAACAAATTTGTCTGCTCTCATGTATTTTGAAAACCTGGTTTTAAGTATTTACCAAACTAACTTTAACTGCATTCTTCCAAACTACAAGACATAACAGCTCTAGGTTTTGATTCAGGAAATGTACTTAAATCCTCCAAAATTACTTCACCCTCCCCCCCAAAAAACCCAAACCAAACTAAACCAAAACCAAACAAAAAACCCCAAACAAACAAAACCAAAAAACGAACCAATGAATTATTTGTGTACTGATCTGCATAGAAAATGATCACTCCTCCTGTCATCAGCAAAAGTCACAATACTATTTTCTGTTATGAAAGTGGGAAGAAGTATTAATCTTGAGCAAAAGGTCTTATTGCTTCTTTGCTGGAAAAGTAGAGTGAACTGCAGCTTTAGCAATTAAATTACTCCCAACAGTAAAGAAAGAAATATTTTGCCTCTTGAAATGTTTTTTATGAACTATATAAAAAACTGATGTAAAACTCATCCAGCACATAATTTAAACGATGCTCTAGTCTATAAGTTTTCATCAAAGTAAAAATCAGTTCTGAGATCTTTTCTTTTTCACTGAAAACAACAAAAATCTTGTCCCCGCAGCCCAACTGAAAGCCCAGCTCTCTCCATATAAAATACATCATTTGTGGAACAGGAAAACTGAATCAAAAGTAGTTCAAGTGGAGAAAAACATGCATGTTTAAATATTCTTTACCAAAATGTTAAAATTGTATGTAGCAAAAATATCCAGAGGAAAGAGTCCAGACACTTCCTAACCCCAGGACTCTCTGTAGTATAAAGTGTTTTAGTCTGCTTTCACCTTTCATTCAAACCTTATTCAACTAACTTATTTAAAATTTGGCTAAAATAATGCTGAAAGACTCTTTACCCTGCAACAAATTGAGAACTTTCAGGTCAAAGTTAACAGCAAAAATTTATGCAAGACTTAGTTTACATGCACCTGGGCGATAATCTGATATGTGTGGAACCTGCTGGTTTCAACTGTGTTCTTATTCATGTATTTAATGGAAATTAAGCCACAATTTATAGAGGAGACACAATAAACCCATGTATTTTGTTTCTGCCCTCTCTAACCTATCATATTCTTTTGTAAATATATAATGAAAATGTTATTCTTTTCTCTCAGTAGTATGATGCCAGATATTTGGACATGCACACTTGATATTACGGATTTTGGAATGGATTAGTGTTTCCTTACTCTTTACCTGTTTAGACAGTCTGTCTTCCTCTTCAATATACTTCTGTTCTTTAGGCATTAAGGTTCTTATGCTGGCTTTCACCTATGCATTAAAATGTGAGTCAGTATTTCAAACTTACGTGCTCCTTATTAATAACACATACTTTAATTTGCAAAAATTACAAAATTTCAAAGTCATGGCTGCCAAACCGTAACACATAAGTGTACACAGAGACAAGAGTTGCTGCTCCCTACATTAGCAGCAGCAGCAGCAACAAAAAGAGTGGGTGTGCCAGGCATTGGCAGAAGAGTATTCTGTAGTATACATCAAGGTTTAGAGAAAATGAAGAATGACAGAAATTCTCTACAAATCAGGAACAAAAGCTCTCATGAAACTGAACTCTTTAGCAGTACAAAAAAGCCAAAGTTAAGACTTACAGCATTAAAAATCACATCTATTTCAAGATAGATGACCCCCTTTGTTGGCCCTGTCAGCTGCTTGTTTTTCAAGACGTAGGCTTTCTGTTCACCATTTTGAATCTGCAGGAAAAGGACATGACAGCCGTCTGTCTCGCAGTCTCCACTGAATACACCCCCCCAGTGACCCCTGACCCCCAGCTGCTGAAACTGACACAGAACCCAAAACAACTGTGGCAAGTCTGACAAGTACCTGTTCATTACCAGGACCAAGTCTGTCAGGAAAAATTAACTATCATGGGATTCAACATGGCCGTGAATAGAGTATGTTAAAATTTTAGTGTTCTTATTACAGACCTTGGTTGAGAAATGACAGATACAGAGCTGCAAATTTATTTTTTTTTCTTCCTCCCCCGCTTCAGCAGATAAAATTCAGTGGTGTGTCAGGTGAATGAAACTTACAGACAGCAGTGGTATAGCAACTTTGCCTAGAAAGTCAGCACTTCGATCGCGGTCTTCATCGTAAACTGTCACTTCAAGCACCGAGTGGATGTCTTTTATATTACTACAAAGGAAGTAGTACACACAGTGGAGAGAGGAAGTGACTTACACCAGCGAGTACCAAGGACAAAAGTGTGAAAGGTTAGCACAAACAGATACCCATCTATTTTTCCAAGCCATGGAGGAGAACAGAACTTAAGCAAATGAGGCCTCCCTGCGTATAACCAAAATGTGTTCTAAGAGCTGAAATGATTGCGCTCTCTCTCTCTCTCTCTCTCTGTAAGGCTTTCCCAGCTGAGGTTTGCTTTAAATCTCCTACCTAGGGTTTGCGCTGCATGACCTGCAAGGAGCAGCACTGGGGGATTTACAGCCCCCAGCAGCAGGACTGAGAGCTTTTAAAGGCTATCCCTTAAACACTGCTGCTATTGCTGTGATTCTTACTGCAAACACTGAAATCTGTGGCTTTGTAAATGGAAATAATTACAAGATACAGGAGCATATCCTTGCACTGAAAACAAGCTCTTTACTTCTGAAATCCTTGCTTAATTACAAATATACAACAGTCATTACAACAAATAAAGAACAAACAGTAGGAAACAATTCATTTCTCAGTTACCACTGAGGCAAAAAAGCCTGCAAGCTATTAAACACTCCACTGCCATGCACTAGAACGTAACTGTACATTGTAAACTCTTGAGTGAAACATTTATATTCCTTATTTGGAGAAAAAGAATTATTTGAGAGAACTCATTTTTGATCGAATGGCTGAACCAGCAAACACAAATTCAAGCAAAGCAGTTTAACTGCAGTAAAATCTAAGCCTCCAGATGAGGGATTGCTAGCCCAAAAATTAATTAACAAATCTGAGGATAAATATAATATTCAAAGCAACTATACACAGAAAAAAGGCCTTAAAGGCCTTCAGAGGTTTTCTAATTGATTCCTGATTAGTCTTTTGTCCTCTATAAATCCAGGCAATTCCTTGAGCAGAGAACACTGCTGAGCATTAGAGGATGATTAGTTATTGGCTCTATTAGTATATAATTAAAAATAAATTAATGAAGAATTTAACACGGTTTTGCAGATACAGAAATGAGAACAACAATAATAAGCTGTTGAAAAGTACAACTATTGAGAGAGATTTTTTTTTTGTTCTGAATTCATTCTTGAGAACTCACTGCGGGTCAAAAAACCTATGGATGCCAAATATATGATTGACAAATTTAGAGGGGAAAAAAGTTAAATTCACACTGAATTTTAAGATCAAGGGCAAAATACAGCATTTTCATTTAAGATAAAGTGAAGTAAGTGTACACAAAGCTAAAGTTTCTACAGGTTTTGCAGAGGATTGTTAGCTGATTTCAGCAGTAGAGAGACCTGGAATGATCAGGTTTTTTCTACTCATTGGTGTCACATTGCAGTCAGATAGAGAGAAGAAGAGAGAAAAAGAAGGCAACTGAGCAAGACAAATAACAAAGACATTTTGTTTGTGGAAGACTTTTTTTCTTCTTTGCCAAAGCCTTTTACTGTCTTCAAAGTAACAGAAGGATAAAAACCCAATAGCATCACTTCATGACAAACTAAATATTTTAGACTGCATTTTACCCAACAGCTGCATTGTACTAGTATTATACTAGACAGTATTGTGAGAAGTGCAGTTGTTAAATGAAAAGAAGTGGAAAGTATTTGATCTTAATTCAGAAACTTTTAGAATTTCTAACTTTATATAACTGACTAATGTTTTTTAAAGTTAGCAATCCCATTTTAATGAAGGTCATAACCACAATATCTTTTTTTCCCTCTCAGAACTTCAGGGGTAAACCCATCACACTGGATTTGGTCCTTGAAAATCTCAGTAAACCTAGCAGGAGTTTGGAGTGCTTAGCATTACATACAGCTGGTTTCCAAGAACCAGATCAGGCTTTTTAACCTTTAAAATGATACCACTGCTCTATTTTTTTTCATGTTTTTAATTTTCAAAAAAGTATTCACATGCTTAGTTTAGAAATATCACTATGTTGTCACTATTCTTCTTCAGAACCACCAGTAGGTATTCTCTTCAACACCCACCCCTCCAAAAAAATCCACCCAAAACCCACTGGCCTCTTTCCCAATTCAAACACCCACTGCACACCCCTCCCCCCACAAATCCAAACACCTACAATGTGAAGATTTTGTTCCATTCTGGATTGAGGTTCTTGTAGATGGTATGTGTCAGCAGTCTGTCATTGTTCAATTCAACTACACAAAATGGGTCACTTTTACCTATAAGAGAAAATTTGGAACAAAATTTATAAACTAAGAAAACACATGATGAGCAAAGTTTAAAGAAAAACTAGTTTGGCATTTTTTTTTTCCCTCTCCAAAGTTGTACTGTAATTCTCTTAAGAATTAATTCAAGGAAGTCCTACGGTCTGGATATTCAGGATATTCAAGAGGCCCTCATCTCCTTAATCTATTAACATTCTTTGCTAAAAGAACAGATTTTTGTCTTAAAAAAAAAATTAAAAAATCACTATACAGATTTTTCTGATGAAAAAACAGTATGTTCCTAAAAGATGTCAAGCACCCTTCTGAGACAGTTAAGAGAACTTTACTTTAATGGTGCCCATACTCCACTGACTGTAATGATAACACAGAGCATTTTGATATGAAAGAAATGTATTATTCCATAGTATTTGTAATAACACAGCACCAATCAGAGTTATCAAAAAATTACTTCTTTCACATTACACAGATCCTCTCCCCAAAATCAAGGAGTCTTCAAGACAGTCTCATATAAAAGCTTAACACCAGAGAAAATGGGTAAGTACAAATAAACAATGAAATTATATCAGCTGGAATGACAGGCTGTAGTCTCAGCAAAGCAGAAGGTCAAACATGGTTGAGACTAATGTATACATTAAAGAACAATGAAGTAGCTTTGCATATATTTACAAAAAGGTCCCTCACCATGACCATCACCAGAAGACAAAGTATGAAGATGCTGCTTTGAAAATGTAATAAGTGATAATGGAAGCAGGATAATGGAAATGGTTACGGAGGTTTATCTTTTTTTTCATCTATAGAAAAAAATTCGGGAAAGCAAGTGTGCTTGTGTGTGTGTGCTTAAATGTGAAATAAGCAGTTTATAGCAAAAGACTGCAGGTGAGCAGTGCTTAGATACTGAGCAGAAAGCAGGAAAAATTATCCTGACTACAAGTTTCCTGGTAAAACAGGAAACTTACACTAAGTTTTTTCAAGGTTTGTATTTAGAAAGGTGCCATGGTTTAAGCCCAGATGGAAATCAGGCCCCATGCAGCTGCTCCCCTCCCCCCACTGCCTCAGGTGAGAGAGACAAAACACAGAGATTACGGTTTTAGATAACAATTTACTGGAAACAGCAATGAGATAAGAAAACAACAATACTAATAACAATAGTGTATAGAACAGTGATCATATGCAAAATGCTCACCAAGTCTGATGCTCCCTCCACCATTTTTTTTTCCCAAGCCCAAAATAATGAAAAACAATGGCAGACAAACCGTCTGTGCCTGTGTTTTTTCCCCCAAACCCAAGACAATGAAACAATCACAATGCAGACAAACCCTGCCGTTGGGACCAGCACCACCCCACCACTCCACTTGCTGTCTGCTCCCCTGAGAAAGGACAAAATGGCCGTGGAACATCCATACACCCCCTTTTTCCCATACCCAAAGCCACACCCTTTCTTCTGGGAAGTGAGAATCCCTGACTTCTACTTCCCTGCCTTGGTAACGATGTGCATGGTACAGAATAATAACCTAGACAGGCCTGCATGGCTCCAGGCTCCGCCCCTGCCCCCCCCATCCTTGGCTGAAACTAGGACAAAAGGATAAGAAGAAAAGTAGACAACTGAATCTGATGCTTAACAACAGCCTGGCTGTTTAAAAAGGAACTCTCCAAAGAGGGAGGAAGCAAAAGGCAGCAAGATTGGTATTTCCAGGGTTTCAGGGCCCTCCTGAAATTTCCTGGAAGGGTAAGAAGGTGTTGTGAGGTAAACCTGAGGAACTGCTATGACGTAAAGAGCAGTAATGAAAACATGAAGGGCATAGCAGGAAGATAGTTGCAATAAAGAGGCAATAAAGGGAAGAAATCACAATGTGGACTAAATTATTTAACTCATATTTCAAATTATGATAGTAATGACAACTGTATAAATGCTGTCCAAAACAGAGAGACACTGTCCTTCTTACTTATTTTTATTTTCTTCAGTAAGTAAAAGGAGTAACTTCTGCCTTTGGCACAGAATACAAGTGTGTACACATAATTTTCACATAAGGCTACAAATATGCAAGTAGAAAGTTGAACAACAAACTGCTGCTCCCTGGACCCAAGGGAACTCTGCTGAAAATTAACAACTGAGTTGCATACTACAGCATGGCTTGCTCTTGTCTCTAGACTTTCTCTGGGCAGTAAAGTGTTTGAAAGGTATTGAATGTTGGCATTGGCCTTCCACAATCAAATTTAGGACACTAAGCATCTGTATTTCATAATGTCTTCCATAACTCCATATTAGTTTTTCATGCATTATAAGAAGCCATAAATTGAGTAGCTAAATTAATGGGGCTATTTAATGATATTAGGAGGCACATAATTTGTTTCATACCTTATACAAATGACAATGAAATCAATATTTAGACAGAGATGTCCAGGTATCACATCTCTGAAACTGCAGTATTGATTCTGAATACATTAGAGTTTAATGTGCATATTATTAACTTTAATGATAAAGAATAATTGTTTTAAACACATTGTGAATTACAGTTGATGTTTACCTTTTCTAGAAAACACTATACTGCTGTTTTCCATTTTCTTGAAAAATTACTCATTAGTAAGCAGAGATGGATATATCAGAATTCTCAATGTTCTCCTACCTCACAAGTCTAAAAGGTGGTAGGAAACTTACACAATTCATATTATTTGAGTTCTGTAGGTTTCAGTATTTGAAAAAGAAATATCCAGAAGACAGTTAAAATAATAAGGCAGTGCTTACATGGCAGGCAAACTAATTTATCCCATTTTTTAAAGTATTATCAATCACATTTGCACATGGTGGTACAATGTGAGTTGAGCTTATGAATCGTATACAGATACAAGAAAATGCACTTCAGCATATACAGGCCATCTTCTACAAACAAAGAGAAGATTTTTACTACATCTATTTATTTTCTGCACCTGTTGGCATGTGCTTTTTCAATGACTCTTCTTATAGATTTATATAGATATCAATCAATAATATGTAACATTAATTACAGAGCTCCTCAATCAAACCAAAGACAAATGGTTTCCAGAAATGAAAAAATCCCTCAGTCACAGTCAACATTTCATGCCTCCTCCCCCCACGATTTGAAAACTGTTCAAGACCAAATATGAATAAAGGCAATATCATGAAATGGTTCAAGGGAGGGTCCAAATATCATGGCTAACAAGTAGAAGCTTCAACATCTCTGCTCAGGAATATTGGTTTTATCATATAAGAAGGCTCTGAAATTCCCATAGACAAAGCCGTTCACCATTGCATATGGGCACTTCTTTCATATGCTAAAACACTCAACTAAGCTTGGTATCTGAAAGGCGACACTCTTTGCTGACATGCTCAACATACCGTATGTGCAACCGTTATTAGGATACTAACTAAAATAAGTGAACATGATCCAGAAATGTACAAAGACTTGGTGAAACTCATATCCATCTGTCATCTTTCAAGTTCTCATTATTAGAAACAATAACTGCAATCTTAACTCTCACTGACAGCCTTGGCAACCTGCTGTACTGTGAGAGTGTTCAAAATAATGGGATTGTTCCCAATGAAAGCCTTAAGAGGGCACTAAAATATTAAAATATGTCCTTAGGTCTCCTTGGTTCCTACGATGACCAAAAAGATCCAGCATCACTATATTATTCAAACCCAGTACCTTAAACACAACACGTACTCTAACCAAGGTAGCCTCAGACAACTTCTGTCAGTTAATGTGATTAGCAATTTCAAACAAGAGATACAGAAATGGTTTTCCTCATTTTTATACGAAACACACATGTTCAGAAAAGCATATGCTCTCCATTTAGCTTGTCTAACAGTACACTTAAAAACCTCTGACTGGACTTGTGCTGCCTATTCTCCATTACATCATTCTATATCATGCTGTCATCACAAGTATGCCTTTCACTACAGGCTAAATCACAACTGTCCTATATAAGTGTATATAACCTGTCACATGTCAAGAAAGACTACCCAAATCACTGTGGCTACTGAGGATCTTCCAATTAGCAATCCCCTCATCCCCTCTCCATGTCTTAAATAGGCCTCTAGCTACTATTCCAGTGATTTTAGAGGCACTTAGCTATTGATCAGGTGGACATCTACAAAAAACTCCTGTGCTTGGCACGATGCATGGGTAAGATAACCACCACCTGCATACGGCACTTAAACATTAAAAGCATGTTCCCAGAAGCACCAACACGAGCACTTCAAATTCTGAGTAATCCCATGACCTCAGTGGGACTAAGTGCTAGTATGCCTACCAACATTTGAAGGAAATAAAAGTAGGTAGTAAAATAAATTAAAAGTAGGTAGTAAAAAACAAAGTACATCTCCCCACTTACTGAAATCAAACCTGCAGAAACCTCAATATGAAGTAAAACACATCTCATTAATCCATTCTGTTGCTGTAATGTCTCATGTTTTTTGGACTCTACTTGTACAGTCCTAAGGGCTCCTGAAATTACAGAAATGAACTGCTAATTTACATAATATTCATAACTGGAAGGGAAAGCAGCATCTCTTTTGACAGATATCCCTCACCCTTTTCCCCCTTTATCCATTACAGAAGTGGACTATCTAAGAACATCCTCTAGAAGAAGTTTTACTTTGTAATGTATGCTAACACTGAAAAGAAGCTTCCCATTTTATGCCACACATTGCATCTAGTTCAACAGATACCCTTGTTTGTGCTATGCTGCATTGCATTTAATGTTTAGACAGTTGCAAGACCAGAGCACAAACTGAGATTACCTTACTTAGATCTAACTTAGACAGCACTGTGTTCCTCACATTGTACGTGATGCACACACTATAATTATAGTCATTTACTTGTTACCTTATTTCTTAGAACTACCATATGCTCCTGGATGAACACCCATAACCTGAAATCAGCCCAGTTCTGCAACAGAGGACAATCAGGAACTATAGATGTCTTATTTGTTGTTTGCTTCAAAACTGAAAGTCCTCCATAGCCCAGGAAGTC